AACTGTAGGGTTAACCAAAGAAAACAGTTACAATGATGACATTAAAGTAACAGTCATCTATAATTAATAAACAAGATAGCAGCATGTGCAGCCTATTACCATCTCAAGACAACACAGATAACAAAAGCAACCATTCCGAAAATGGTTCTGCTCTTACCTCTCAGTCCCCAGTCAGGGTAGGAACACTATAGTGCTGCAAGGCAGTGTGTGCTGAAGACAGAGTTCTTGGAGCAGTTTGGGGTCCACCCGTGATCTGCCAACAACATTGGCAGGATCACTAATTTGCAGTACCTCTGTAAAGATTATAGCTACATTTAATTATGGAAAGTGGTTATTTGCCATCATTCTTCAAAAACACTGATTTTTTTTCACTTTGAATGGCAAGCTAAACACTATGTTATTCTCGCATTGTTCTGGAAACCCCATAGTTTACAAATTTAGTGTGTGTATTCAGAATCACCCAAGCTGCTTGTAAAAAATGCAGTGTCCTGGCCCCATCCCCAGAGATTCAGGATGTGGCCCAAGACTCTACAGTTTAATAACTCTGCAAGTGACTCTGAGGCAGGTGGTCCATAGACCTTGAACCAAGGGCTTGCAACCAGAGTTAGCCGGACATGGTGGCATGTGCCTGTAATCCCAGCTACTGGGGAGGCTGAAGCAGGAGAATTGCTTGAATCTGGGAGGTGGAGGTTGCAGTGAGCCGAGATCGCACCACTGCACTCCAGCCCCCCAGCCTGGGCGACAGAGCGAGACTCCATCTTAAAAAAAAAAAAAGACAGAGAAATTAATGCACCATCAGAACACCATAATAGTCATTGCTGCAGACAGGATTCACCAGTGGATACCAAAAAGTGATGGATGAAACTTTGAGAAGAAACAGAATGTTTGCATCAAAGTATCTCCTGTAAGATATCAATTACAAAAAGGAAAAATGGTAGCTGTGTTGTGGAGAATCCCCACAGACGCCACTTTAATCAGATAATCAAGGTCAACATCAATCAAAAGATCTTTTGCCATAATGTAGCCCCTGAAATTAGGCAGGAGAAGGGCACAATCTTCTGTAGAATTCTTCCTAGTAGTGCAAAAACGCTAACCATGAGAAAACACCAGATGAGCCCAAATCTCCAGTCTGTGATACAAAACATCTGTCCAGTATTCTTTGGAAGTGTCAAGGTCATAAAAGACAAGGAAGATGAGAAACTGTCATAGATTAGAGGGGACTAAGGAGCCATGGCAATTAGATACAATATGGGATCCAGGGTTAGGTCCTGAAACGGAAAAGGAACATGAGTAGGAAAACTGGAAACATCTGAATTAAGTCTGTAGTTCAGTTACTAGTGTTGTAACGTTGTTAAATCATTACTTTTGATGATTGTATTATAATTATCTAAGATGTGGATATAAAGGGAACCTAGGTGAAGGATATATGGGAATCTTCTATTTTGTGCCTATTTTCTATAACTAAAATTTTTTCACAATAAAAATTAAGAGTACATTTGCTTAGTATTGTGTATATACGGCAATAGTTTAGTATTGAAGAGCATACACAGTCTTCACTCTGCTGACCTGTTCAGCATGTACCGCGCCCCACCCTGCCCCCCGCCATACACTTTATTTCTAGCCAAACGAAATCATGTATTGTTAACCCCTTTGGAGGAAAGTGAGAGTAATACAATTTTTGTCTAGATTATAAAATATTTTAAACCAACGTAATAACTAGCTGCATGCCCACACCTCATTTGAAAAAATACAGGAACACAGCAAAGCCCGCGTTCCCATACTTTGCGGCATCCTGCACCTCTTGTGCACTTCCGCCACACCCTGTGACTGCTGCCACTCAGAGATAATCGGTGGACCTTGATGTTTACTCTTCTTGTTCATTATTTTTCACTTTTTCAATCTTGGCGTCAGATGCATACTACCAATCAGTTATACAACTTTTTTGCTCTGTGTGTTTGTCTAATTCATTACTTATCTGTATGCTATAGATTGTCACTGTACAAATAACCAGTATTTATCCATTCTCTCACTGGAAAACATAATGAGTATTTTTTTTTGGGTTGGTTGTTCTTGTTTTGAATGGGTGCTGTTTATTTTTAAAAGTGTCTTCTGAGGCAAAAGGAGATCTCTACTCTTTCTGAACTCCAGTAACACTTATCTGTGACTTTTAACTTGGCATTTGTGATTTTTCATTATAATTGTTCTTTTCTCCCATGTCAGATGGAAAGCTTCTTGAGGGTCGGATTCCCACAGATGGATTTTATTGGGGCAATAAGAATTTAATTTTCATGAATAAGTAAATACTGAAATAATGAAGTAAACACTGTCACAGATTTTGAGAATACTCGTGTTTATTCCCTTGGTTGTTACATGATGTTAACTCCTGGGGACTTTTCTTTGTTGGAAAGATTTATGCAGTGTTAGAAACTGGTCACTGAGGTGGAAGTATAGAGCATAAATAAACCCTAAAGCTTTAATTTGAGAATTATGTGCTCAGTTTTCAAGCAACACAGGTACTGGAGTGTACATGCGTGTATGTGTGTGTGTGTGTGTGTGTGTGTGTGTGTGTGTGTGTTTTAACATCCTATAGGAAAGTTGACAAAATTAATAATAATTTTACCTGCATTTGGTATGGCAAAGCAGAGAGGAACTGACTAATTTGTATTACGGCAAACTCTTGATTTTGTGCACGTTCTTAATAAAAAGTATAGTATTTACTTTTTACCATTTAGAATCTATTAGAATTACCCTAATTATTTTCCTCCAAAATTATTTTCTTTAGATGTTGATCCACTCTGTAAAAACATTTAACAGATTTCACAGCTCTCTTGCCTATCTTATTTGATTTCTTCAATAGCTTTGGCAGAAATGAGCAGTGCTAATATTTTCGTCCATAATATTGGATAGATGGAATACTGGAAGGGAAGTTGGTGGAGATTAAAGACCTGCTCGAGGTCACAGAACAGTACCAGAAACCAGATATTTCAATGTAGTCCTGTCTCTGTCCAGATACTAGTTTCAGTGCTTAACCTAAGCAAAAGTATTAATTAAGATGTTGTTGCTTAGCCAGCATTTTTATAGATAATTCAGTAACATAATACCCACTTGACAGTTCATTAATCTGGGAGTTTCCCACCTTCAGTGAGAGTAACTATTGTTAGTAGTAACTGCCTTTTTGCTGCCTTCTTTGTTAGAATGGTTCAAAGGAAAGCCTAAGCCAAACATTGCAAAAGAGCATATTGTGACTGGTGTGTGGTTTAAAGGAAAGAAAATCTTAAAAGTGAAACAGATAGGAAGGTGTGGCATAACCTTCAGTTAAGTATCTGAGGTGACAAATGGTTTTTTGATAGCTTGAGACCTACAGAAGAATTAAAACCTCTCAGCATATAGTCTAGTGCAGTTGATCACTCAAATCGCAATTTTATAAAATGCAGAAGCAGTACACTTAGAATATTGTCTTCATGTCAGAAATGCACCTTTGTGCTTGAAAATGATAAAAAATTACAATCGATCCTTAGAACTGTTCTGTTCATCTTTATTGATCAGGTGCAAGAAAGATAAATTGTAGCCCAAATAAGATTATAGTAAACGTTAGCATCATAGGGGACTGTAGGTTGATAGAAAGCCATTCATCATCTCAAATGGTGACCTGTCCGTGGCTCCAGCCACCCTGAGTCTGCTGTCTAATCACATACCTATTGATTTTATCTACATCCAAGAATCCTGGATGTGACTGTCATTGGACAACCTGGATTGTTAAATGCAAAGGGGCCGCTGGTGTGAAGAGGATTTCACTTTCATTTTTTCACCGACCAAGAGTGATTTATTAAAAAATAAATGATCCCAAGCCATGCATGTGAAACCTGAGTGATTAGAGGATGAAAGGTACACAATTGACCACTGTATTGTGGTGGTATTTGTGGTGTTTTGTTTTTGTTTTTGTTTTTTTAATGCAGTGCGTTTTGCAGGACATTTCATTGAGTCTCAGGGCTCATGGGGTCATTTAGGCTACTTCCTGCAATAACACCAGTTCCGGTGTAGCTAAGTCAGAATGGATACATTTTGCTGCCCCAGGAAAGGCATTACTTTGCCATTGCATCTTGGTTTATGTTGTTTATGTGTCCATTCATGTTAGTAGTGGATACATTTTTTATTGAAATTATCTAAATCTGCCCCCTTGTTCCTACTGGTTAGTCATAACTTTTGCTATTCTTGTGGTCATGTGAAAATGATAGAACAACTTATATTCCATAAAGAATATATCTTTTTTTTTTCTTTTTGAGACGGAGTTTTGCTCGTTGCCCAGGCTGAAGTACAAAGGCATGATCTTGGCTCACTGCAACCTCTACCTCCTGGGTTCAAGAGATTCTCCTGCCTCAGCCTCCCGAGTAGCTGAGATTACAGGCATGCGCCACCACACCATGCTAATTTTTTTTTTTTTTTAAAGTAGAGACAGGGTTTCACCATGTTGGTCAGGCTGGTCTCAAACTCCCAACCTCAGGTGATCTGCCTGCCTTGGCCTCCCAAAGTGCTGCGATTATAGGTGTGAGCCACCATCTTGACAACAAATATATTGTGTAGAACGAGATGATCTTTAATATCCTAGTAGGAACACAATGGAATAATAGGTAAATATGAATGTATGTGAATTTCAGTTTTTGATCTCAGGCATCCGTTGAGCTGACAAAGGTAGATTCCAAATAATGGTGATTTAAAGAATCTTTTCAAAATGTTAGGAATTTTCTCCAAAGGATAAAATAATAAGAAATTATAACTGTGAAAATGTACTCTGTAATTATAATCCACATACCAACAACTCTACTGTTATTTAAATGAGTAGTTTTACATGTGTTTCATAAGTATCCATGCCACCTATACGAGAAAGCCTTCTACTGCCTGAGTGGCTGAAACGAAGTTTTATGTATTTTTGAAGCTGTTAATCTTCTACACGTTTTGTCATCTTGGATAGTGAAATCTTTGCTATCAATCTTTGTCCACAGAGCTCAGAGTTCTACAAAGTCACCACTGAACAATATCAGAAAGCTGCTGAAGAGGTGGAAGCAAAGTTCAAGTAAGTTTTTAGTAGCATTATAATTATTTACTATTCTTAACAATATGAAAGCACAATTTTAGTGCTTTTTTTGTTATTTTTATTTTATTTTATTGCATTTTAGGTTTTGGGGTACATGTGAAGAACATGCAAGATTGTTGCATAGGTACACACATGGCAGTGTGATTTGCTGCCTTCCTCCCCTTCACCTATATCTGGCAATTTTAGTGCTTTTTGAACAGAACATAGTTTGTTATATAGCACTCTGGAATACTTGGAAGTTTTGGGGTGGTTGAGATGGGGCCATGTAATCTGCTATACTGGAATTCATGTGCCAAGGAAAAGGCATTTGATGAAACCTTGTTACAAATCAATGTATTTTATGAACGGGGGAAATTGAAAGCAATGGTAATAGAATTTTCATTTGTAATAATGTATAAAATAGAATGCCCTTGATTATGAAGATCCTGTTAAATTGCTACTCTATTAATGGAAACATAAAAACCATTCACTTTTGTATAATAAAATGATGGACATGTCCAAATTTGGGTATCCACCTTTCTCATGGTTAGACTGTTTTCATTTCTTTACATGTACCTTGAAAGCATTTAAATCATAGACTTTACCTGGCCCTTGATTATGAAGGTGATGTTAAATTGCTACCTCTCTTAATCCTTGGAATGTTTAAATGAATGTTCTGTAATTGATGGATCAAAATGTCCATGACCCATAGCCTTGTACTTTCCCTTTGCTGCCAGTTCTCACATTAGGTAAGAATACATCATTCAGAATTTTTCTGAGTATATAAATAGTTCTATTGTGTAACCCCTATTAGTAGCACATGTGCAAATTAGTGAAGCAGAAAAAGTTGTTGTGACAGGTTTAGCTGAAAGATTGCATCTGGCTCTGACCTCCTTCCTTGCACATGTTTACGAGCATTTGATAAAATGATTAAACCCTAAGGTGGAATTACTGCTTTCTGCTACAGTACAATTTGTGTGGTAATGGATATTACTGTTATTATAATGTGATTAAAATAAAAATTTTTTAAAATTCAAGATAGTTTGAGGTTTATTTAAACAGCCAAATAAACTGTTTAAGTTTGTTTAAACAGATTTAAACTTCAGCCTTCCCCAGTGAATTATCTCTTTAGAGGCATCAGAGAGAGACCGTCTAAGGATGGGCCACAAATCTCACTATTAAATATTAATGTGAGATCTTAAGAATTTAGACATATTAATAGAACTGGGTATAGATTTTATTTTAAAAGTTATTCTACATGTATTAAATTACATATTTGTTTTTCTCCCTAATGATATAGTGACTTTTTTTTCTTTTGGTGGTAAACCATTTTCTCTCTATATATCATGAGAACCTTTGAATTGGCTCCCTGAATATTTATTATAAGACAATAGCTGTAAAAACAACTAAGTTTAAGATGCATCAGAGATGAGTTTTGACTTAAGTGATCGGTAAAGTTTTCATAAGGAATATGATTTTTTAGTTGAGGCTTTAAGAAGAGTATTGAGTAGGTGGAAAGGAGAGATATTCAGAAGAAAAACTATGCTCTATAGTTGGTGAGTGACAAAGTAGTGGCTTGAGTCAGAGAAACGAGTGCAAGATAAAGCTGGACAGGTCAGTGGGTCTTTAGCTGCTGGGCTGTGAAGTTTGGTCTTCATTGAGCAATGAGTCATGGGAAGATGTTTGACCAGATCAGTGTTCTTATTTCTGGGTTCCTGAAGGAAAAGTAACCTGACAGTGGATATGAGCTTTAGTTGCAGGCATGAAAAATAAGATCCAGAAGAATGAGATAAGGTCAGGTACGGTGACTCACATCTGTAATTCTAGCACTTTGGGAGGCTCAGGCAGGAGGATTGCTTGAGGCCTGAAGTTCAAAACCAGCCTGGTCAACGTAGTGAGACCCTGTCTCTGCAAAAGAGAAACTTAAAAATTAGCCAGTTGTAGGGGCATGTACTTGTGATCCCAGCTATTGGAGAGGCTGAGGTGGAGGACTGCTTGAACCCAGGACTGCAGTGAGCTATGATTGCGCCATTGTACTCCAGTGACAGAGCGAGACTATGTCTTAAAAAAAGAAAGAGAAATAATTAGATGGGGAGTCTCTACAAGTGAAAGAGGAAAAAAATGTTGTTGAAAGTTTAAATGTGGCACCAGGCATGATGGCTCCCACCTGTAATCCCAGCACTTTGGGAGACCAAGGTGGGTGGATCACTTGAGGCCAGGAGTTCAAGATCAGCCTGGGCAACATAGCAAAGCTTCATCCCTACTAAAAATACAAAAATTAGCTGGGTGTGGTGGTGGATGCCTGTAATCTCAGCTACTAGAGTAGCTGAGGCAGGAGAATTGCTTGAATCCAGGAGGTAAAGGTTGCAGTGAGCCGAGATCACGCTATTGCACTCTAGCCTGGGCAACAGAACAAGACTCTGTTTCAAAAAAAGAAAAAAAAATGGTTGGCGTGTTAGTTTTCCAGAGCTGCAAAGTGCCACAGACTGGGTGGCTTAAATAACAGAAATTTATTTTCTTACTGTTCTGGAGGCCAGAAATCTGAGGTCAAGGTAACGTCGGGGCTGGTGGCTTCTAGGTCTCTCTCCTTGCCTTATAGCTGGCCATCTGCTCCCTGTGTCTTGATATGGCCATTCCTCTTTTGTCTACATGCTAATCTTCTTTTCTTACAAGAATACCAGTCATATTAGAGTAAACCCCCTCTTATGACCTCACTGCAATTTAATTACCTCCTTAAAGACACTCACCTCAAATACAGTCACATTCTGAGGTCTTGAGCAATGGAGTTATGAATTCTCAGGGGACACAATTCATCTCCTAACATTTAGATAAAAGGGGCAAAAGAAACAGAATTATGAGGTTAGCAGATTGGAAAATCGGTGGAGAGTAGATTTCATAGAGAAAGATAGGTCTGGTTTTAAATGGAAAAATCTCCACCCTGAAGCTCTGCCCAGCTGCCATGTCATTCAGCCTGAGCTAGGCTTGGAGAGCGAGAGGCCACGTGAAGCACAAGGTTGACACCATGATGACTGACCTCTTGCAAGTCAGCAGGGCCCTCCTTGTAAGTTAGACTTTGTTTTAAATAGAACCACAACACCATCATTCTGTCTTACCTTTTAAATATGTTATTCAGGAGTTAATAATCTTGCCGAACTGTGTAGTAAAGAATTGGCCTTGCCCAAAGAGAGGTCTGGATTTTGTACTAAGCTCCTGGGAAATGCAAAAGCCTTGGAATTTCCTTAGTGATAGAAATTGTTATTCTCACCAAGACACGGTGGCTCATGCCTGTAATCCCAGTGCTTAGGGAGGCTGAGGTGGGTGGATTGCTTGAGCAATCTGAGAGTTTGAGATCAGCCTGTCCAACATGAGGAATCCCTGTCACAAAAAAAAAAAAAAAATTAACCGGGCATGATGGCACATGTCTGTAGTCCCAGCTACTTGGTAGGTTGAGGTGGAAGGATCACTCGAGCCTAGGAGGCAAAGGTTCCTCCTAGGTTCCTCCTAGGCAGTGAGCTGAGATGGCACCACTGTCTTCCTGTGTGGGCAACAAAGTGAGACCCTATCTCAAAAATAAATAAATAAATAAGAAATTGCTATTCTTGCTGGGCCCCTTGGACCATGTGGTAGCAGCTCAGCCTCTGGGGAGGTGAGTTTATCATGGGGACCATCAGTCAGTCAAGCTGTTTAATAAAACTCTGAATGGTGCTCCTCAGTTGAGCTTTCCTGGTTGACAGTACTCCATGGGTACATTGATCCCTGGAGGGCAGCAGGTCCTGAGGACATTGGAAGCTTTGCACCCAGGTTTTGTCCTATGCATCTCTTCCTTTGGCTGATTTTCTGTATCATTGCCCTATAGTAAACCATAACTGAGTTTCACAGCTCATAATGAGTTCTGAGTTCTTTCAGTGAATTATTTAATTATGAATTTTGGGTGGTTTGGAACACACCCCCCCATTGCTGTTGATGTCAAAATCCAAGGGCAATTTTGGAGACTGTGCCCTTGGATTTTGCACTTTGACTAACTCCAATACACACAAAACCCAGGTCTTAACACACTGTGAAGAAATTTTCATAGCTAGTTTTTAGAGAGTGGTTTTCATTATATCACCACCACCACCCCCGCCCCCGCTACTTCCTGCTAAACTGAACTTCCTAGAAGGTTATATTTTGATTTGCAGTGAGTTTATTAGCTTCACACCTGGGAAGTGATAGTACATTGGGTCTAGGAGAGGCTTACCATCTTTAAAGGCACAGAGATTACTTAGTAGACTGCTGTTTCTTCTTAGAAATTTGGCCATCTCAGATAATCAGGACTTTTGTGAGATAATATATAGTATTTGCATTGCATGACAGGGATTTTTTGCCTGGTCAGATTATTTTCACTGGCCTCTATCTGTATGACCGGCTTAGCACCTGTAAGCATCACCTTGAAGAGCTCTATCTTGAATCTAAACCTGAACTCAACAGTTCTTCTTAGGCAACAGGTTCTGAAGGACTTTGAGGAGAATTTATTTAATTTTATCTGATGAAAGTAGGATTCATTTGTGTGTGCATCTTGGTTACAGGAGATAGAATCTTTTGAAAATGCAGTGTCATAGCAGTATTATATACCTGATGAGGGGTCACACAAATCACTGTAAAGAGAAAGGAAGTTACTAAGAGCATTTGAAGCTGCCCGCGACTAACACCAGCGCATTGATGCAACCTACCAGAATAGCTAATGGAATTATTTTTGGGGATGCTTAAAATATTCAGTCATACTTAACTCCTCACTCATACTTAAGTCCCTCATAGTTTTGGCAGTAAAACACTTCAGAATTAATGGATTGTTTTCTCCTCCTTTATCCACACATCATTCATACGTAGAGCCGCCCCTTGTGGCAAGCTGAGCTCTGAGTATGCAACTAAGAAAACAGGCCAGGAATTCTGAGTTCATCAGAGAAAAACAAAGCAAGACAAGCTTTTAAAATGATGACCTTTTAAAGAATCCTAAGTTAGTT